GCAAAGCTGGTTGAGTGGGACCAGGAACAGCCGTTCCCATTCAAGCCGAGAGCCTCTTGGCGGTGCATTTCAAACAAGTAGCTGAGTCAACTTGTCTTCCTGGCCAGATTTCAAGAAATTGGGTGGGGAAGCAGCGCAGCCAAACGCCTGGGAGAGTGAGGAAGTGCTCAGTGCTGGGAGGCTGTTCCCAGGCCCTCTCTTACATGACAGTTCATGTGCTCACGGACAAGTCCCAACCTGCAGAAAGAGCCGTAAATACTTCAGAGCCAGCAGCTCGGCCCGGCAGGCGCTGGCTCACCTTTTGCAGGTGCTGGTGTAAAAGTTTTGCTCCCTGGAAAGACGGGAGAAGAGAAAAAGCGACATGTTTCTAGGTACACTGACAGGCTTGCCATCTGAAAGCTTCGCCTGAAAAGGCAGAGTCGGGGCAAAGAATGCAAGCGAGTTCTCTTCGCTTGATTTCCCTTCATTTACTAATCCCATCGTGGCAAATATTTTACACTCGGTTGTTTTGCCCAGCTTATTCTGCTTTGGTTGGCTGGGGAGGGAGGAGCAAGACACCATGCAGGACTCTTAGTCCCCATGCCACCACGCTGTACAAGCCCTTTTAGAAAACCCTTGCAACCAGCATTGCTCATCGTATTTTCTAGTCAATGTCCGGGAGGATGGAAAGAGGGTCAGTAGGCAACGTTGGGCAGAGATTTTTGTCTCTTGGGAATATCCCTTGCTTGGGTTCTCAGGAAGAAGCAAGTTTCCAGCCCTTAGGAACGTAAAGAGCTGCGCGAAGCCTGCTGCAATGTCAAAAGCCAGGGTAAAGATGGCTGAATCAGATCCCCTCTATAATTTTCTGCCTCTCCCTGGAACAAGCACAGCCTGAAGAAATTCTGCATAATCAGTTTTGCCTTGTTGTGCCTCGTTGATCCGCAGAATTCAGCTGCCATGATTTTGGTGCAGAATTTGAACTGCAGATTTTGTCTTTTGTTTGAAGCGTCCAGGGCTCGATGCAGTTGAAGGGTGAATGGAATAATGGAGCTGGTTGGGGGTGTTTTCTTGATGTCCCTTTTCCCTTGCATTGAATAGTTGACCCCCTTTTCCCTACCATCCTCCCTTTCGGGAGAATCATAAGTCAAAATGGCATGGAATAGTTTTAGCAAACAGGCATGAGTGAGATGACATGCTCAGGTGTCACATCTTCCATTGTTGCCATTTAGGTGCCCGCTCAGTTCCTCAGCACACCCATCGCTCTTCTCCCGGTGTCAAACCTGCCTCTGTACAGAGCTTGTAGACCAGTGTTTCTCAACCTTGGCAACCTGAAGATGTGTGGACTTCAAGTTGCCAAGGTTGAGAAACACTGCTGTAGACAAAAGAAACGTGAGAGACAATCAATGGCATTGGCTGATACTCCAGCAGAATTATGGGAAACGCATGAGCAACTGATGCAAAACCCAGCACTCTTGAGTTACATGGACCTCTTTTGGAGGGAACCCAGATTTATAAAGTTTTGGTGGGTGAAGGTTGTTGTTGGTTTAAGGGGCAGAATGGACCCCACCTCTCAGAAAAGGCAGCCCCACTTTGGCTGTTTTCCAACCTACTTTGGAGGGGAAGTGTGGCCTCATCATAACATGTCCGGTGCAAACCTTGAGGCAACAGAAGTTATCATCTCTGTTGTAAAGCTCTGGACGGGCTTTTCCTCTGAGGGGTGAGTGGTCAAAGTGAGGGGTGGTGAGGAAGCAGCTGCTACCTTGGGAAGTAAGACGAAATCTGTCCCCCTGGATACTTGTTTAAAGGCATTTACTTTTCTTATGCATGGGTTGTGTTCAGCGTCTGCCACCACTAGTCAAAAAGAGATTCATGCCCAAGTTTTGCAGAAGAGCTGTTGTAACAGACCAGGTGCAGTGCAATCCTGGGCATCATGGGTACTTATGAGCACCCAACAGGTTGTCTTCTATGTGTATGTATATTATGATACGTAGCCCCAAAGCCAGGTCAAAAAGGTCTACCTCTAATCTCTTTCCCAAATGACCAGAAGACCACATGGGATTCCCAGTGGCTCATGAGCAAGCATTGACCCAAGGCTGATGGACTGATGATGCCATTGTTTTTATGGGGTGGTACCTCTTCTGAGTCTCTCCTTTCTGCATCTCTATCGGTGGTCTCTTGGAGCAGGGGCTGTTGCCCTCCAATTTTGCTCAAGTGTCAGGCAGTGACCATTGTGTACCGTCTAAGCCAGTGAGTTTCCTAGGATGTTTTAGAAAACCTTGAGGTCCTTCAGAAACTTTTCCAAGCCTCCTTAACAGGGTCAGAGAGGATGGACTAGTTTTTCTCCAACAAGGCAGCTTACCTGCTTGCTACCAATGTTCCCTCCGGAGCTCAGCCATGGGTGTGTTTCGTAAGATGTAATCGCATTTTGCATGGGGTGAGGACAAGCTAGTCTAACTGGCCTGCCTGGTGCATGTCAGTAAGTTCAGGATGTGTCTGAAAATTCAGGACTCCACCCCTCCAGAACCCTTTGCAACATGCAGAGTTTTTCAGCAGACATGCAGAAGTTTCTCAGCCAGCCCCCTGATGTGGAAAAGGGAGATGTCAGAAACACCAAATGCTTTTCCCAGAGTACTTCATTCTCTCTTCCTTTCTACATTTATTTTTACCTCCAACTCTCAGCTCTTCCATGTTTCCCCAGGCTTCCTATTTCTATGGGACAGGCAGGTCTGGGGAGAGACCTGCCTTTCCAGTTCTCGGCTGTGCGTTACTAACCATCCCTTTTTTCCAATCTCCCTCTTTCTGTGTATTAAATAAAAATATGAGCCATATAATTACTGGTGTGTTATCTCTAAATATACAGATCAGGAATATGCAGCAGCAGCAGAAATTTGAGATGGGGAGGAGGAGCCGGATTGAAAGGTGCCCAGCAGGGGAGGAGAGTTTGCTCCCTTTCGATAAAAGGGCCTGGGGCACATTTTGCAATGTGAGAAGAAGGAGGGTTCAGACATTTCTAATGCTCATCACAGAACCCCTTTTACTCTGGAAGGTACTGATAAAGTTTCCCCTCCACCCTGCCTCCCTGCTGTTCCAAAATTTAATTCAGGCCCATGAACTGTAACCCTCACTGGGTCTGCTCCTTTCATGCATCATTCATCTCTCTCGTTCGTGGTGCGGTCCTAAAGCACATCACCAGGGCCTCTTGCAGCCTGGCCCCCTCCAAATGAATTGAGCTGCAGCCAAGCTGGCTGAGGCCGATGGGAGCTGCAAGCCCAGCATCTTGGAAAGTCACCAGGCCAAAGAAGGTTGTCTGCATCAAAATATTAGCCCCATCGAATGCAGTGGAACTTCCTCCTGAGTCAGCCTGCCTTAAGTTGCATTGTAATATTTATTTTCTTTCAGTGGGTGGCTGCCTCTCTCTGTCTCTCTGTCTCTCTCTGGGTGTGTAGGCTTAGATGTAGAAGGATATGTGGCACTCTTATTAATTTTGCAAGTGAAGCAGGTTTTCAGGACTTTGCATAACTGCAGTTTTTCTGTCTGATCGTTCGGCTTTGCCCCTTTTCATCCAGTGAAGTATGCAACTGTGGAGGGCGCTCTCAACCCCTCAGAGCCTGGGCATCCTCTGTTTGACTCAGAAAAACCAAGCAGCTTGGTCTTTCTCATGCTGCTTTGCTCCAAATGCACTGGGCTGCAACTCCCATCCTCCCTATACTTGGTCTTAAACTTCTGGAGAAGGTCCTCAGGGAAGCTTCTGAAGAGAGTCTTTGGAGATGCATGTCCTGCTCGCTTCGGTAGCCATAAAAAGTTGATGCTGGAAAGCAGGAAGGGAGGAAGAGGGGGAAATAATGTATGGGTGAGAGAAATGTTCTTTGCTCAAACTCTTCCTTGCTTTGCTAGTTTTCTGCTTTTGTTATAAGAAATAATGGGAGGGAGGAAGAAAGGAAGGAAGTTATGGAAAGCTGGCATGCATCAATTCTAAAATATATGGGAGCATAGATAAATGAAATACTATCTGCAGAAAAAAGTCCAGCTCTTCCTGCTTAGCATCGTGAGCTCTCTCTGCTGCAGTCCTCTGACTTCTAGAAAGCTGCCCACCGTCTTAAGGTCCAACTCTGCCCATCCCTCCTTCTGTTCATCATATATGCTCCTGATATAGCATCCAAGCTGTGCAGTGACACCCCCTGCAGCGTCAAGAGCAAGTAGAACAATCCTGCCAACAGAGTTGAAACTGGGTTGGTTCTTTAAGCCATGCAAGTCGCCTCTTGGATGCGGCAACCGGGGTTCTCCAAGGGGACCTCTGTGAACTAGACTCGAGGCACAGTGAGGTGGTTTATATCAGCAGAGCAGAATCCTCCAAGATATCTGGACACGCAAACATTTAATCTCTTCTCTTCTCTGCCCCAAACACATATTTCAGCTGGCAGACTAGCTGGACTAGCAGATTTGCAAAAGAGTTTTCCGGGTTATTTAATTATCCAGCCGACTTCTGCGCAGGAACCAAAAGTTGAAGCACATTATTAAGCCTCTTTCAGGAAGAGGATCACCATCTGCAACAGTCTTTTGGGCTGCATTTTTAATCACAACAGTCACATATCTGGTGGCTGTATTTGCACATCATATTACATTTAGTTTGTTTTAACCTTGGTGGTTTGCTCGGTATGTGTGTTTGTGTGTCTTTGTTGTGTGAATCCAGGCCACTGGATTACTTAATGATTCATTGCACTGTGCAGACCCAGGAAATGGGTGAATTCAGTAACAAGATGAAACCTGTTGCCAAATTGTCTCCCATTAATCTTTTGAGCTGTATTTGGAAGGGCTCACAGGAACCTGTGGTTCCAAAACTACAACCCTGGCAGATTCACAGGGCCAGTGTTGGAACCCCAGCAACGAGGGCCATTTCCAGTTACATCCTAATCTTGCATTGTTTATGTTACCTAGCATGTTAGTAAAACAATTATAATCCAAAAAAACCTAGCTTGGAGAACCCTAACAACACAATATCTCCTGTTCCTCTTTTCCTGTAGGCCTCTGGGCTCAGAAGGTGCTTGTCAACGAGACAGTCTCTGGCTTCGTCGGGACCGATGTCGTCCTGCACTGCAACTTGGTCAAGATCAATCATACAAGGATCACACAGGTCACCTGGCAGAAGGCCACAAATGGTTCCAAGCAAAATGTGGCCATCTACAACCCCAACATGGGCGTCTCCATCCTGCCCCCCTACGAGGAGCGAGTGGTCTTCCAGAGCCCCTCCATCACAGATGGGACCATCAAGCTGTCCCAACTCCAGTTGGATGATGAAGGGATCTACATCTGTGAGTTTGCCACCTTCCCTACTGGCAACCGGGAAAACCAACTCAATCTTACTGTGTTGGGTAAGTCGCCAACATCGTTGACCTACCTGTCTTTCAGCTGGGGCTGTAGCAAAGACACAGTGTGCAACAGCTCAATCCATCCGTCTCCCATCCTGCTTTATGGTCATGTGACATTACTAGTTTCTTAGTGGGAGAGTAGCACTGAGCAGTGCTTCCAAACAGCTGAACAGGGACACCACATGTGGAATCAGCGGGCTTGATGGTTCTTCCTCCCTGTCCAATCTTCTCCTCCTTTGCCCATGGGGGTGATTCCAGTATGCTCACCATCCCTGAGCAAAGGCAGAGGGGATGGAGAGCAAGACCAGAAATTCAAAGAGCCTGGAAAGGTTTGGATTGTGGTTAAAGCTCGGAGGACTTTTCCTGTGCCCAAAAGACATAGAAATTTGGGGACATTTCTGGGAAATGGAAACTTTTTTAATTGACTCAAGAACAGGAAATGCAAGACCAAAAAGAAGAAGGGGCTTTTGAGGGGAGATGGATGGATTTTCAGATTTTTTTTTTCTATTGATCTCATGTGTAAGCATTTGTCTTACCTGTCTGGGAACATTTCGGTTTCCAACTCTTTGCCAACAAAAAATAGGATTGCACCCCAGATCTCCAGGCAATATTTGTTCATTTTCCTGTTGTTCGGTCTGGGGCTTATATTTGGTAAATATATTTCACCTTATATATACACACACTTCCATTCTTGAGAAAACTGTGCTCCGAGTTAGAATGAGGGTAGGAAATATTTGTCCTCGCTCTGAACTTGCTTTGCCTTGTCATCAACTGATTGTCTAGGTAGCTCTGTAATGGCCTCACATTGGCTATGCCAACCCTGTCAGAGTTTTCAACTCTGTTGCAAACTTACTTTGAGACCCAGAAAGCAGAAAAGCTGCACTGATGTTGAGTCTAAGCAAAAGAAATTTACTTTAAACAGATGCAAATGTGTATGTTTCCCAAAATATTGCACAACCCCCTGGTCTGGGCTCCCTGTTATTAAAATATTGATGTACACTACGTTATGTAAATCCTGAAGCAGTTTACAGCAATAATATAAAAACAAAGCTCTGTAAGAAAAATGATCCATGAAAAACATCAACGATAGTGGGAGTTAGTGGCAGGGAAGGTCATCACCAAAAGATGCGGTTTTGGAGAATGCTCAAGAAGATGTTGGCATTGGGGGCTGGTTCAGAAAGGAAAATGTTCCCAGGAGAAGCAAAAGAGTTTTTTCATTGTATTATAACTAAGGAATGTATTGTTTTGTTATTAGTAGTAGTAGTAGTACTTTATGTGAGATGAGTGGCTATATAAATATGATAAATATGATAAATACTGCTTCTATTCCTGATTTTTCCCCATAAGGATTGGTGTGCCAGTGTGTGGTAAAGACAGGGAAGGATCCTGATTTTGAGATCCCAAAGTAATGAAGCTTCTGCTTGGCTTCCCTTCTGGCTTTTGAATTAGGGAGGCCGTGTCTCTGAAATCAAGCCTTGCAATCCACACATCTCACTAAGCCATGGCCTGTATTAACTCTAGTCTGTAGAACAACCACAGTGGCCTGGCTCACAGAAAGCGGAGCCATATTTCCAAATCAATACGCTAATGAGAAGTCAGATAGATCAGAGAGCCTGCTGCTTCCCGTTCAACATTTTTTGGAGAATTAGAGGTGTGAAATGAAGGTGATATGGGCAGAGGCCACAAAAGAGCAATGGGTTTCCATGTCGGTGACTCTATCTTTCAAGCATAAGAGATCTTCGTAGAACTGTTTGCAATCATGTCCAGATGAAGAAAGTTGCTCCATTTTTCATGAAACGTGGCATTCCAGTGAATTCAAATTCAGCAGTGGAATCTCATTTGTCAATTCCATTTTTACTCTATGTATGTATGTATGTATGTATTTATTTATAAGATTTATATATCCGCCCATCTTGTAAAACACAACTCTGGGTGGCTCACAACAATCATGAAATCACAAACAATAAAGCAAGTTGTAGGCTGGTTTCCTTTGAAAAACATGAAGAAGATTCACAGGGAGCCCCGAGTCAACAACTGCACCTAGATTTTGAGTGATGTTCAGATCTTGGGCAGACTAATGAGAAAGACACTAGGTTGGTGTTTGCCAGACTACTTGTGGTCTTTGTTGGTAATTTGATCATGACACCTTTGCTTTCACTTTCTCATCCCTTGCCTTTTCTTTAGCCAAACCAGTGAACCGGATGGAGGGCACCACCAGACCACTGATTGCCAGGGCTGGCATGACGGAGAAAATCCTGGTGGCCACCTGTATATCCTCCAACGGGAAACCTCCCAGCACTGTGACCTGGGACACTAAGCTGAAAGGGGAGGCAGAATTCCAGGAGATCCGCAATGAGAATGGGACCATCACAGTGATCAGCCGCTACCGTCTTTTACCAAGCCGGGAGGCCCACCAACAGCAGCTGAAGTGTGTGGTCAACTACCAGTTGGAGCGGTTTACTGAGAGCATGACCCTCAATGTGTTGTGTAAGTTGCAGGAGTGATGCACAGTAGTGGAGCTGAGGCTTCAAAGGGACAAGACATAAAATGGGGGAATTGCTCTTACAAGGTGTTTTTAATGTTTTAACCCTAACCCTTTGGAATAAGCCCGTGAAGAGTGTTTTTCTCCCCAGTGGCTTATCCCAACCACCCCCATCCAACTTTTGAGTACTGCTGATGTTGGAGATTTACGCTAGATGTGGGTTTCCATGGGGGAGGAGGGGCAAGTAGCAAAACGCGTGATGATGTCAGGATACAAGGACATAACTTCATTCATCATCACTGATATGATGGCATCATGCACATGTCATTTTGTGGTTTGCTGCAGAAGTCACTGCTAGGAGGTGAAGGTGGTCCACAGGCCATCCATTAATGACTGCCTCTTTTCTCACCCCACCTACTTTTGCTGTTTTTCCTACCCTCCTGTCTTCTCCTGACCCTTCTCTTGTTTCCATCCATCTTTCCTCTTTTTCTCCTTGCCTTACCAATTCCATTTTTGCCCTTATCTGTACAACTCTTCCTTTCTTCTCCTTGCCTCATCCTTTCACCTTTATTTCTCTCCTTCCCTCTGTTCTCCATGCCTTCTCAACCCTGCTCCTTCCATCCTTAATTTCCTCAATGCTGCCCTCATTCCTTCCTTAATCTTCTCAACCCCCACCTTTTTCCTCCTTTGCTCTCTTGACTCTTGCTTCTCTCCTTTCCTGCTTCTCTCTTCCCTCATCCTTCTTCCTTCTTCCTTTCCCTCTCTCCTTCACAACTTTCTTCCATTCTGTTCTCCCTGCTCCTCTTTCACAGATGAACCTGAGGTTAGGATTGATGGTTTTGACAGCAACTGGTACCGCAACCGGAAGGATGTGAAGCTGACATGTATATCTGATGCCAATCCTCCTGCCACTGAGTACCAATGGAAGCTGTAAGTATTGACCAGAGCACGTGGATGAACTGTTATGGGTTCTTTGCAGCACTGAATGAGTGGGGACCAAATGGGAACACTTTTGTGCCCAGTGCCATACAGTTGCTTTGAGAGCTACCAGGTCAGATTGTGCAAGTGAAGGAAGAATGATTGACAGCTCCTTTCCTCCAGTATTTTACATAAATTATGGCCTGAAGACAGGAAGGTAGCATTTCTAAGCTAGGCCCAGCTTAGCCGTTCCACTTGTGCTACTGTTCTCTGGATAGACATTCTACATAGCCCTTTTATTTATTTTAATTCTAGCAGTTTCTACAATAATATTTGCTACATGGTGTGCTTTGTGCTAGCTAATGACCATAATGAAGATTGCTGATGATCTATAGAAATGTTTTCTCTTGAGTTCCCATGTCTGATAGAGACAGCTACCATGGAGAGAACAAGAGGTGGCTTTAGGAGTTTAGGATGGTGGACGGCAACCTGTTCTTAGTCCCTCCTCCAAATTTTAACAAATATAAATCACAAATCCTTGACTCCCCTGAGGGAAACTCATCAGACTAGCTGTATAATTGGAACTGACTGAATCAGGATACAGTGTGAGACCATCCTTGGCTTCCAGGTGTTTCACAAAAGCAGAAAGGAAACACCAGCGTCCCACACACAGATTCAGCAGTAAAGAGCGTATAATTAGCAGGTGAGAAGATCTGATCTGTTGCAATTCAAGTGTTAATTCATTCTCGCCTCTAACCGGATGCAGGACTTAGGTCTAAATACTCTTCCACGGGATTCCAGTTGGTTTACCTGGGAAACGTTCAGAAGAGAACCCACACCTCTGCTCAGGCCTGGCTGTCCTCAGATATTCCCTCCTCTTTCTTTAAAAAAATGTTCCTTCCTCTTACTTGGCAACGGAGACATTGTTGGGGAGATCAGTTTCCACCCACATGAGCATCCCTGGCTGGCAGCATAGAAAGTGTGTGTGTGTGTGTGTGCGCACGCGCATGTGTTTCCAGGCAGACAGATTTTGATCAGCAGCTGGTGAGTCATCAGCCAGATCACCTGCAGTGACCTGGATGGAGTCATTCAGGCGAGTGAACAGATAGCCCATTTCTCACAAACAGCCGAAGAAGAGATGGGAATCCTGCCTCCCGAATGCCCCAGTTGGTCGGCTGCTTGCTGGAGTGCATTTAAAGCAAATGCAGTGCCTCTAGAAAGCAAGCACATCAGGGAGAAGCCTTTTCTTTTCTTCCTCTTTCTGTGTGCAGAGATGAATGGACTGATATGGAGAAATAATCAATCCCGGAGCCACACAAGACTCAAGTGCCTCTTCTGTTGTTGAAGAAGGCCAGTGGAATAGCATCTTCCAGGTGGCCACCAAGGAAGAAGCTGGCTTATCTAAAAAGAGATGCAATCCAATCATCGCCTTGGGTTGCTCCTCGCATCACTGCCATGATCCTCAAATCTCGGGACAGCAAGGCCTGTTCCACCCCGGAGGGCAGGTTGGCATTACACCGTCTCTCTGTGCCTCGAGTGCCAATTTGGATGGATGTTCCTGTGCCAGGAACCTACTCAAGGGCAAGCTCAGCCCAGAGGGAAGACCCTGGATAATGGTCTTTTGGGGAACAGCGCCCCTTTCTGTCAGAGGGCTCTTAACCAGGGCATCCAGAGGCAGGTCACGCATCTACCGTGCAACACTTTGTAGGCCTCTCTCAGCTTTTAGGGAGGACAAAGCCATTGAAAGCGGGGCGACAGCTGCCCCGGGGCCATGAAGAAAGGGGACATTTTGGTTGCTGCAAAAACCTTGTTGGCTCCAGCTTCCTTGGCCTCCCAGGTTCCTAGTTGGATTGAGGCCATTGCTTACAGCTTCTCTCCCCCCACTGCCCCCAACTGCTCTTTGAAGAAAAGACTCGTGGTTGCAGCAGGGACAGAAGAGGGAGAAAAGACAGAGATTGGAAACGCCGAACGTAAGGGATAAAGTGCTGAGAGTCAGATCTGGTGAGCAGGAAGGGACAGATGGGACAGGATGAGGTTTTCTCTTGCTTTGTTCCGGATCGTGAGCCTGTTTATAGATGTTAGGAGCAGCAGTTGCAGAAAGATGGCCAACCCCTCTCACTTCTCAGAGGGAAGCAAAAGAAAGGGTGGCGTATTATATGCCCCGGCTTTCCCGAATGCGCTGCTTTCCACAGCTTTGGGATTGGAGCTCCGGGCAGTCTGACCAGGATGGAGTGATGATGCTACGTTGCTGCAGCCGGCGAGCTTGGGGAAGACAGAGATGTGCTACTGAATCTTTCCAGATGACCAAGGAGGGGGAATCTTTTGTCCTTAGCGCGAAGCCCAATCCAAGGCCTATAGCGCAGTTTTCTACTTCTCCACGGAATGCCGCGCATCCTCCAAGTAGATTTATTCGCTTACTTACAACCTCCGCATTTGATTCCACAAGGCAAATTCTTCTGCACGGCTTGCAATAAATAGACATAATACAATTTAGATGCAAACTAGAGCGCCAACTCATGAACTCGAGACTAGCATAAAAGGGAGCAAGTGGCCAAAATTGCAGAAATCCCAGAACAAAAAGCACAGGGTTCGGAAAGCAGATGTCGCTGTGGATTGAAAGGGTGCGAGGAGACAGAACTTTTCATCTGGTGCCAAAGTGACCATTTCCCATCTAGTGAACCATTCTGAGAAGGCGATCTCACATGTTGGGTGCCTTGAGAAGATCCTCTTCCTGGGTTCATTCATACATACATACATTCGCTATAATCCATATTTCTAAGGCCACTCAACTTGTTGACAAATCTTACCTGCCTCACCTCATTTTATTCCGGTGGTTGGAAGGGTTCCTAGCTGAAATCAGGTGTGCCAACAGTCGGTCCCATCTTGCTTGAGGAGGATACAATGCCTGGGTGACGGAAAATGGGTGACCCTCAATCCGCTCGCAGGGGCATTGCCAAAGTGGATGAAGGCTAGACGTGGCCATAGGGGCTGCAGGCAGATAATGAGTGGTACTCATAGGAGGTCAAGGAGTTTGGAGTAAAGCACCCTTAGATAAAAAAGGGGCAACTTCCTTCTTTTCGAAGGATATAGCAATGACCAAGACAACTGTTCCAAACTGTACAAAAGGTTGTCGTTTTGTTTTGTATCTTTCAGGCTCCCAGTGACTAACATAAATACAGATAAATGAACAGGCTATACATTTTCCTGGGGACTAGCATCTTCTGTGGGTTGACTTCCAAGACTGATGTTGGCCTTTGTCCCCACCCCACCATTTCTAATTTTAGAATAAGACCCCAAATCTCACACTCCCTTTCCTTTTGTTTTTTCCCCAAATACTACATTGGTTCTATGGCTGGGAATGCTGCAGCTTGACTTAAATTAGCATTGATCGTTTCTTCTCGAAATTCTTGCCAGTGTAGGCACTTGCTTGGGGCATGTTAACGTGGCCAAAACCAGACTTCTGATTGTTTCTTCCTCTTTGGACCAAACAACTTATGGTTAATGGTGGTGGTGATGGTGTTTTCAAGGAAATAGACTATGTTGTGAAGCTGACTTAGAGGAACCCAGGCTGTTCGTCTGTGTAGGCTGATATTTTCTGATCATTAATTGCTCTCAGGGGGTGAGAAGGGTTTCCCCCACCACCTACTGCTTCTAATTGGAGCGTCTCTGGCATCGTCTGAATGCAAATAGTGTTTGTCACCCCTGGGTTGTGTGCCTCTCAATTGCTTTTGCTGAACGTAATTGCTTTCCCTTGGATTGATTAAAAATGAGTAAACTGCATAATTTTCATCTGTGTACAGAGTTGTTTATGTTTGTTCTGTGATTTTTCAAAACACTTTGGAACTGATTTTTTGTTGAGCTTCTCTCAATTTATATTAGGACTGACATTATGGGGCTGCAGTTCCTATCCATAGTAGTTTGGAAAAAAGAACCATTATCACAGAAATAGAACAGATCGCATTAGCAAATACTTTGCAGAGAAGACAGGCAAAGAAAATACTCTAGGGTGAAGAAACCACTGCTTAAGGGCCACGGATCTGATTTCAGTTTGCTTTTTTATCCTATCCTCCTGTTTAAAAAAAAAAAATCAGGCAGGTGTATATCAAAAGTTGGCAGCATGGCACCTGCAGGTCCCAAGGGATCCTCCCTCCCCAAAATTAAATGAATAATTTAAAATGTTTTTGAAACACTGAAATAGGATACAATAGCCACCTCTCCCAACGGTTGGTGTCTTCATGAGCTCACAAGAGATGGTGATTCTTGTGCAAGACCGGGGGCATTTCCTTGGCACCCAGGCTCCTATGGCACACCCTTGGGGCAAAAGGATCTTCTGTCACTTTATCAATCTTCACCCCAGTCCCAAGCAGAAGGGGGCAGTTGACCCACGCTCCTTCCACACAGCTGATCAGGAATTGTCCTCCAGAGAGTTGTTTTTTTATCCGCACTCAGTCGTTACCGACTCTGCGGTGACTGCTTGGACAAGTCCTTACAGTTTTCAAGGCAAGGTGTTTTCAGAAGTGGTTTGCCAGTGCCTCCTTCCTAGAGCAGAGCCCAGCTGGCAAGCGCAGGCTCTGGGGTTTCCGTTGCTTTGCGCCTTTTTCAGGCGTGCGTGGCTTCCACACTACCGGCAACTGCTCCCGACTCCTTTTGCAAGGCGCTGCCAGCATTTTTTCCTCCCACCGGGGTGAGAGTCCCCATTTATCTACTCACATAAGTTTTCGATCTGCTGGGTTGACAGGAGCTGGGGAGGAAACAGGAACTCACCCTGTTAACGCGAAAGCTGGGCTCGAACCGCTGAAGTGTCAACCATTTCTGGCCGGCAACTTTCAGCGTCATTAAGCCGCTGCGCCACTGCGTCCCCTATCCAGACAGGTTTAAGCTATGTTAATTCATAATTCAACAAACACAGAAACAGCAAGATGCCCAATGAGTAGGTTGGATTTACCATCGGCTGATTATAGAATTCGCTAGCCAGACGACAAGCTTTCTGCTAATGGTCCAAGGGCTTTGTGTTCTTGTTTTGGACAGGCTGAATGGCTCGCTGCCTGACAGTGCAGAAATTCAAAACAGCACTCTGTTCTTCAAGGGACCAGTCACATACAGCCTGTCGGCGACATACATCTGCGAAGCCACCAACACCATCGGCACCCGGTCTGGACAGGTGGAAGTGAATGTCACAGGTAGGAATTGAAAACAAAGGTAGCCTCTGTTGTTGAGGGGTGCAGGTCGCAAAAGAAAAACCCACTTTAAGCCTTAGGCCACCTCTCTATTTTTACAGGCTCGCTTTTGCTTCTCACGTCTTCTCTGCTCCTCTGGGAAAAACATGGAGTCGGGTGGGATTTTCTGGCCCTTCCGTTTGTTTAAAATGTGTTGGTTTCCATTAGGAGCGCCGGTTCCTGTTTCTTCTCCTGCTCTTCTCCTTTGGTTTGCCAGTACTTCAATTCCTCCTGCTTTTCCCTTGGTGTCCTTTCCACATCTGGTTCAAAGCCAGCTGTAGAAGGTTGAAAGGCCGTGTTACAGTGCAGAAATTAGAAGGGGCGAAGAAATGAGAGAATGGGATGTCAAAAGATGTGCTACAAGGTCACGTCCAAAAGAGCATGAAGTAGTGCTGGTGTTTGCTTCTCTGTTTGCTTCCAAAAGTTATGTTTGTTTTTCGAAAGCTTTAGGAATAAAGTCACCGGTCAGAACTGCTGTAGTTTAGCCTGCGTTGTTTAAGCTTGGAGCATGTTGTTCTTCAGATTTAATTCTTAACTCTAAGCACGTGGGGGGGGGGGGGCGTGCGCACGTGCGCTGTTTCTCTCCAGGGTTGTTAAAGGCTAATGGCCAGACTAAGCTACAGAAGGAGCCGTTGACTAAGAGACAAGGTGTGATATTAGCAGAATTGGTGGGAAGGAATAAGGAGAAAGAAGGGCTGCGCTATAGTCAGAAGATAGTAGGAGACGACAGGTGGAAATGCCAGTCCTTCAACTGGGGTCCTCCCCAAGTGCCAACTCCCATAATTCCCATCCTGTTGATGCCATCCCTACCTTGAGAACACCAAGTTGGAAGGCCCAAGGGGAGGAAGTGATATCACACTGAAAGAATGAGCAATGGCTGCCGTGGAGGTAACTGCATCATCGAAAGCAGCTGTGTGGTTGAAGAAGTAAGGAAAGAATCATTAGGCAATATGTTTCTTGCTTTTTGTTATGGAAAAGGGTACAATCAGCCATATGCTATTGAGCTGGGTCTACTGTGTCCAATAACTCCTATATGAACCCAGCTTTTCTTCCCAGGTGGATCCGCCTTCTGAGTCAGGAATGAAAGTCCTCCTTGTCTTAATCTCCCAAGGCTGGTTTCATTGTTCCATCATGTCTCCCCATAGTCTTCTCTTATCCAGGCTGAACACATCCAACACCTCCCATCGTTGCTCCTAAGTTTTTCCTCCTTGACTCCTTGCCATGTGGGATGCTGTCCTCTGGACACACTCCAGTTAGTCCGTATCCTTCCTAGATGCGGTCCCTTCCTAAAGTTGGGGGTAACCTAAGTGGAGAGTTGGATTGTAGACTTTCTCCAATATTCCAGCCTCATACTGGTGGCCCAAGAATTTCTCAAGGGGATCGTTAACCAAGTCCTTTGCCACCTCTGTGGGCTCTCCTGGGCTGGAAGGAGGAAGATGAGAGACGCTGAGGCTGGTAGGCTTGGCTGCAGGACTTCAAAGCATTTTTCCCTATTGCTATTACAATTTCCCCTACATTGATGTAGCTGCCAAGACGCTGATGTTGCCTGTTGACCTCCAAGATGGAAAATGCCCAAAGAAAATGTCTTGTTGGGAAAAGTAAAAAAAAAAAGGGCTCCCTTCCTTCTGTGTTTTTATGATGGCTATAAAATAAGGAGGCAGCCTGATGAGATGACATGGATGGATTGCACTAGTGGGGGAAGAGGTATTTCTGTAGCTTTAATTATTTCCTTCCATAAGGAAGCTTCCTCCAAATGCAACAATGAAACCCTATTAAATCATGGAGAGATTACAGCCCAACGTCTCTCTTAATCATAGTGCTGCAACTAGATAATTTTAGGTTCTGCACTGAATTGCTCTTATGGGCCACGTTAGAGAAGGTCATGTGTGTACGAATTCATTGGAGACCACACCGTTCCCATTTCTCTTTCTACGGCTTTTCACATCTGCATTCCTGATGCAAGGAAAAACTCACATGCCAAAGGCAAGGTGCCCTCCCAGCACTTAAACCACTTATGTGACAGCACCACCAGTGCAGCTATGGGAATAAAGTGGAGCTTGCTCCCACTGCTCCAGCGAAACACATTGACCAGAAAATAAGCTCAACGGTGGTTCTGAAAGAAACATTTAAAAATATAAAATGAATCTCCTAATCATGTCCTCGCCCAGCCCAGAAGTTGGCCGGTGGGAAGGATTTAGCAGGAAGCTGGGTCAACTCAGGCCAGCCCTGAAGCTGATGCTGGACTTATTCACCAATTCTCACATTTTCTGAAAAGTTATGTTGGATCCCCCCGGGCATAAAAACCCTGGATGTAAGCCCAGGTCCAGCCCTGGCTACATCACTCTTATTTACCAGCATTCCCAACATCTGCAGCTTTCTTAAGAGGGCATTTGAGCTCCGAGTAGGAAGGAACTCCAGGCTCCAATAGTAGATGCACTGCTGTTTGCAAAGCGTGTTCACAATCGTTATGTCCTACCTCCTGCTGGAACCCAGCCTCGGCCTCTCCTTGGGCTGTTGAAATTACAGGTGGGTTTGCAAATGGTTTTGAAAGAGGGTTGGAGAAAGCAGGAGAGGACCCAGTTCTCAATGTGGGGAGTCTCTTGCTCATGGCTTGGATGGTTGCTTTGGCATTGTCAGAGTACATCGCAGCACTTAATTGGTAGCCTTGATTGGTGATGGGGAAATTTAACTCAGTGGGTGCCTGGTTTCCAAGGATAGCCTTCTTGCATTTTATTTTGAAAAGCCACTTCTTGCAAATGCAAAAAAGAAGAAGAAGAAGAAGAAAAATGCAAAGGCGAGCAGCTACAGTAGCCGTTCTGGGGCAGCTTTGCTCCTGGAAAGCTCCTTCCCACCACGCCGCAAAATGCTGATCATGCAGTGTTGCAACTGGGGCTGGGGCAAATTCACTTGACAGTGGAAGGGAGGCGACAGGGCCATGAAAAGCTGCTCGGACCAGCTTTGTGCAAAATGAGTGTTGGTCAGAGAGCAAGGAAGCAAATGAGCATGTAAAAAGGGAAGCTCCATCCGCAGGCTGGTCCTTGCACGGCGCAGCAAATCCCAGGGGGGTGGAAAGGATGAAGCCGGCCCTGAACGTTTGCCAGGAGCGGCCAAATTGCAGCTGGGATGCTCCAAGTAAAACCCAGTTAATCCTCATGGCCTCAGCCTATGTTCATCTGGCAGTCCCCAAGGGCACATTGGGACTTGAAAGGGAGGAGGTACAGCCAACCATGCCAGGCAATCATAGGTAGATTTGTTTGGGGTTTGCAAATAGTTTTAATCCCACTGGCAGAGACCCAAATCTCCTCCTTCCCCAGGTTGTCTCCCAACAATCTCTCAAATTCAGTGCCCCAAGAGAGAGAGGTGAGACACCAACAGCATGTTTTTGGACACTTGCACGTTGATATTCGAGATCCTGTGCTCTTTAATTCATGCAGTTACTGTTTTGCATTTGTTCTGCTCCGGTCAAACAGGTTGCATAAGTTCCAAAACCTACACAGTCTTCTCGATGAGAGTCCACAGAGGGTCACTTTTAAATTAAAGGCACCAATAACTTTGCAGCGTGGATGTGGATTATCTAGCTGGTTATCTTCATTTCCATGGCTGTTTCAGATTCCCATACCCCAGTCTCATCATTTATCACCACTTGAAGTTGGCGTTTGGGTGGAGTTTGATATCTTTGCAAAAATTAGACCACAGGTCTAGCGATTCCAGGCTTCCGTTGCCAGCGTGATCTGTGGGAAACTGATAGACTGCAGAATGGTAAAGCCACATCCTTCCCCCCATCTTTCCCGGCAGCTGGTAGTGATGATGATGAAAATGAAGTCAATCAAACCACAACCCAAAAATCAGAATTGACAAAAAAGAAAAGATCGAGAGCATCTTAAAGAATAGTGGCACAGTATTAAAAGCACACAGAGCTCAAAAGCCATAATGAATGGCCATAAAGTGCAGTGATTAAAAGGCTTTACTTTAAAAAAAAAAAAAAAAAGGCAGCTGAACTAGCTATTGCAATCCTATTGGAATACACAAGTGGTCACTTATGACATGACAAGGAGAGTGTTAGGCCATGCTTTGCCCCCAAAGCATCTAAAACCTGTGTGCTACCCCCGAGAAGACCCTGCCGCTGATATGTGGCTATTTGATCTCTCATGGAGGTGGCACAGATGATGAATCATTCATATTATTCATCCGTATCTTCTGCTGTTGGTTTCCCTGTGCATGAAAAGCTCAGAAAGCTTTTTAAAACGTCTGCTTTAAATGGGAATCCTTGCGATGCTTGAAGGGTGCAGAAGAGAATGTCAAATGCCTGCGTGGCGTGTCCATTTTCTTCTTATTTCTTTGCGCCCCCCCTTAAATCGGTGCCTACTTGGAATATTTTTCAGCCACAGCAAAACGCAGCTTCCACCCCAGGAGCTGAATCTCAGAGTGTGATGTTATTTTTAAGGCAGCCAGCGAGGTCGAGAAGGCAAAAATGTCTGAACTCAGCAGGCGCTTCCGAGACCCCCACTTGTCACAGTGCTCTTCCACCCCACAGATCATTCCTGTGCCCTGGGAAGGACAGGCATCATTGATCTAACCTCCGTGGCCATGCTTGCTGCAAGATGAGGTTGAGCACTGCCAGTTAGAGTACATTAAAACGACGACTTGGTGGAAATTTAATATTTTATTCTTGCAATCTGTTCACGTAATGGCTGTGCGTTGCAGGACATTTGTTAGCTGAGGTGAATCCAGGCAGCGAGATGGGCAACTTTATCACGGTTGGCTTGCACAAACTTAATAAGGAGATTCCTTGGAGAGAGGAAGTTTGGGTTTGAAGGGAGCATGCTTCACCAAACATGTACATCATGCATAGAGAGGGGAGTTTCATGGACGGCTGCACCAGTCTGGAGCCAGCCAGACCTCCTTATTCAAAAGTAGCCAGATCTGTGCTTAATTGCTCTTTGCCAGTGTATACTTGCTTTTTA